GGAGGAGCGAGGGAGGGGGCTCGGGGGGAGGTGGTGGAGTGAGCGTGGGGTCTTGGGGGAGGAAGCAGAGTGGGGGGCGAGAAGAGGAGGAGCAAGAGCGGGGTCTGGGGGCGGCGGAGCGAGGGAGGGGCCTTGGGGGGGTGGAGCGAAGGAGGGGGCTCGGGGGAGGGGTGGAAAGAGGTGGAGAGACAGCAGGCCCCCTGGGGAGGGGGCAGAGCGAGGGCGGGACCTTGCAGGAGGGGGTGGAGGAAGGGCGGGGCCTCAGGGAAGGGAGTGGAGTGGGGGTGGGGCCTCGGGGGAAGGGGAGAGCGAGGGAGGCAGTGGAGTGAGGGAGGGGGCAGAGCGAGCGTGGGGTCTTGGGGGAGGGAGTGGAGTGGGGGCGGGAAGGGGCGGAGCGACAGCAGGCCCTCGGGGAAGGGGGCAGAGCGAGGGTTGGGGTATTGCACAGGGTTGAGCGAGGGAGGGGACTCGGGGGAGGGGTGCAGTGGGGGCAGGGCCTCAGGGGAGGGGGCAGAGCAAGGGAGGAGCCTTGGGGAGAGGGCAGTGCGAGCGTGGGGTCTCGCGGAGGGAGCGGAGTAGGGGCAGGAAGAGGCAGAGCAGGGCCTTGGGGGAGGGGGATGGAGCGAGGGTTGGGGTCTTGTGGGGTGGAGCGAGGCAGGGACTAGATGATCTCCTGAGGTCCCTTCCAACCCTGATATTCTAGGGGGTGGTGTGGGGGCAGGGCCTCAGGGCCGAGCACCCCCGGGGGGAAAGGAAAACTCACCACCCGGGCCCGCGATCCTGGACCGCATCGAAAAGGGGATGGTGGGCAGGAGAGGAGAGGTTCTGTTCCCTCTGGGGTTCGCTGCCCGGATCCTCCCTCCAGGGCTGGGGCCCATGGTTCAAGGGGGAGGGCAATCAATTGGAAGAGGGCCGGAGACAAGCCGTGAGAAACATTCAAGGGGTAGGAAACCCAGCTTCGGGCTCTCCCACCCCGGAGCCCGATCCATGTAGCGTCCCCAAGAGACGGCTGAGGGGTGGCTTGCACCAGGTGTGCCCCTGGGGGTGACACCTCCAGACAGACTGCCAAGGGCCATCAGCGGGACAACGAACCCGGGGATACACCTGATGGATACACCAACCTGGCCGGCCCTTTTGGGGGTGAGAAGAACATTTTTGTATAGCGAGCAGAGGTTTTAAGTAACTTCTCACTGCACTGGACCTAGGTGCTGATTGGGAGCCAGACAACTGGAATGCAATACAGGGCGCTGTGTGATTCCTTTTTTCAGCTTCTTGATAACCAGGATGGGGGATCAGGAGCACAGTCTGTGACTGGTTGGTGAGGCTAACTTCAGTGTTAACCACCAGTTTGGGGGGAGAATCTGCACTCCTTTTTGCAGCCTGCCCGGACCCTGGCATTTCCCCGGGCCACAAGAGCCAGGAGAAATCATCCAGGATTAGAAAACATGGCTTAGAGCGATCCAAGCGTCACCAGGAGACGGCTGAGGGGTGACCGGATCCCTGTCTCTAGATATCTACGTAGGGAACATATATTTCGCTCTCCACCCTAGGAGAGGAAGGTCTAATGCCGTCCAATGGCTGGAAGATGAAGCTAGACCAATTCAGACCGGAAAGAAGGTGCAATTATTTTAAAAGTAATTAACAATTACCTCTGGTAAAAAATATGATGCCTGATTGCCTGTCTGAACGGGTCTAGCTTCAACGTCCGGCCGTCGGCTCTTGTTAGATGGAAGAGATAAATCAAATCTCCGGTCCCCGGGGATCAAATCACCCCTTTGCCTTCTCTCCGTGAAGCTAAACAGACCCAGCTCCTGGTGTCTCTCAGTGTAAGGCACATTTTCAAATCTTTGAATCGTTCCAGTAACTCTTCTCTGAACCTTCCCCAGTTTATCAGCGACATCAGACGCACCGGTGACCTCCCTCCTGGCTGGTCTACAGGCACAAGGTCTTTGTCTCTCGGGCCCGTTCAACCGGTCCATGCCACAGGAAAACGTCCCCAGACTTGTTGGGTATGTGGGGGATTTGCGTCAATTACCCCTCTTGTGTTTCCCCCTTCCGCTCCGAGTTCAGGAAACGTAACCCCGTGGCCCACGGAGAGGCTCGGACGATTTGTAAAGTCAATACAATATTCCAGCGTTCTCCAAAGCAGCACATCTGCCACACCTGACTTGCACTTCACAGAAGTTACCAGCTATTAAGAACGGCCAGACTGGGTCAGACCAAGGGTCCATCTAGCCCAGTGTCCCGTCATCTGACAGTGGCCAATGCCAGGGGCCCCAGAGGGAAGGAACAGAACAGGGAATCATCAAGTGATCCATCCCCTGGCCCCCATTCCCAGCTTCTGGCAAACAGAGGCCAGGGACCCTGTCCCTGCCCATCCTGGCTAATAGCCATTGATGGACCTGTCCTCCAGGAACGTATCTAGTTCTTTTTTTAACCCTGTTCTAGTCTTGGTCCTCAGAACATCCCCTGGCGAGGAGTTCCACAAGTTGACTGTGTGTTGTGTGAAGAAATACTTCCTTTTGTTTGTTTTAAACCTGCTGCCTATTTATTTCTTTGGGTGACGCCTGGTTCATGAAGAGTAAATAACACGTCCTTATTTACTTTCTCCACACCGGTCATGATTTTATAGCCCTCAATCATATCCCCCTTAGTCATCTCTTTCCCAGGCTGAAAAGTCCCCGTCTTATTCATCTCTCCTTGCACGGAAACCGTTCCAGACCCTCGAATAATTTTTGCTGCCCTTTTCTGCACCTTTTCCAATCCCAAATAGATCTTTTTTGAGACGGGGCGACCACATCTGCACGCAGTGTTCAAGCTGTGGGTGTCCCATGGATTTATATAGAGGCGATAGGATATTTTCTGTCTTATTATCTATCCCTCTCAACGATTCCCAGCATACTGTTGGCTTTTTTGGCGGCTGCTGCCCATTGAGTGGACATTTTCAGAGAGCCATCCACAAGGACGATAAGATCCCCCTCTTGAGGGGGAACCGCTCATTTAGACCCCGTCCTTTTATGCATAGAGCTGGGATGATGTTTTCCAATGTGCATGACTTTGCATTGATCAACATTTAATTTCAGAGGCCGTTGCGTTGCCGGGTCACCCAGTTTTGGGAGATCCCTTTGTAGCTCTTCGCAGTCTGATTTCCCAGTTTATTCCTCCTCCTTTGACTCGGTCTTTCCGCCTTCAGTCCGTGTCTTCGTTCCCTTCTTTCCGGCAAACTTTTTTATTCCCCCCGCCTTTGATGGTTATTTTCATGGGGCTCCTGGCTTCTTCACTGCCAACCGACAAGCAACCCAGCGCCCCAAAGTCTCATCGTGACTTTTCTCCCTCCAAACACGGAGCATTTTTCATGGGCTTCTGTTTCCAAAAAGCGACAGCCCGGAGTTGTCTCCTTTATTTGGTAAAAACGCCCGCCCGTCTGGTTTTCCAAACCACACCGGGCCAACCTTGAGGCAGACTATATCCCTCCAATTTTGCCACAAACTGAGATCCAACGTGAAGCTCAAAGACTATGCCTTGTCGGAGGGGAGTTAAAGCATTCGGCTTTCTACACCGCTGGGTTTTTCATGCCCTCCTCTCCACCGGGACGATCCGTTTCAGTGCCGTTGGGATCCGACAGCGGCCTAGGAGCATTTGGGGCTAGATCCAGCCCCGCAAGGGAGTTGAAAACACACGACGGGGGGAAGCATCGGCCGCCGGTTGCGTTTCTGCTGGATTCAATCCGCGGCGTCGGCCGCACCGTCGTTGTGACTGAAGGGAGGCGGGGAACTGATCATTCACCGTGTCCGGCGAGGGGAGAGCAAGGCGGGTTTGGGTCGATCGGCAGCAAAGGCAGAGGGTGGGGAGACGTGAGGAGAAAATGCCCCCTTTGTGCAGAACGCAGGGCAGCCCCACAGCCCCACCCCATGCCCCCTCTGTGCAGGGCACACGGCAGCCCCATAGCCCCCCAGATATCCTCTCTGAGCAGCCCCATAGCCCCCCAAATGCCCCCTTTGTGTAGGGCACAGGGTAGCTCCTGGCCCCGATGTCCCCTCTGTGCAGCCCCATAGCTCTCACCCCACCCCCCTCTGTGCAGGGCACAGGGCAGCCCCACAGCCCCCCAGATATCCTCTCTGTGCAGCCCCATAGCCCCCCAAATGCACCCTTTGTGCAGGGCACAGGGCTGCCCCATAGCCCTCTGACTCCCCCTTCTGTGCAGGAAACGGGAAAGTCTCAAAGCTAACCCAGTGCCCCCTCTGCCAAGGCACACGGCAGCCCCATAGGCCCCCCCCCATGCCTCCTCTGTACAGCCCCATAGCCCTCTCACCTGCCCAGATGTTTCCCCTGTACAGGGAACATGGCAGCCCCATGGTGCCCCCAGATGTCCTCTCTGTGCAGCCCCATAGCCCCCCTCCATGTCCCCTCTGTGCAGGGCACACGGCAGCCCCACAGCCCCCCAGATATCCTCTCTGTGCAGCCCCAGAGCCCCCCAAATGCCCCCTCTGTGCAGGGCACACAGCAACCCATAGCCCCCTGATGCCTCCTCTGTACAGCCCCATAGCCCTCCCACCTGCCCAGATGTTTCCTCTGTGCAGGGCACAGGGCAGCCCCATACCCCCCCCCCCGATGTCCTCTCTGTGCAGCCCCATAGCCCCCCTCCATGTCCCCTCTGTGCAGGGCACACGGCAGCCCCACAGCCCCCCAGATATCCTCTCTGTGCAGCCCCGAGCCCCCCAAATGCCCCCTCTGTGCAACCCCTTAACACCCCCCCATGTCCACTCTGTGCAGCCCCATAGGCCCCGATATCCCCCCGTGCAGCCACAGGACAGCCCCCTAGCTCTGCCCTCCCCCCAACACTGCCCGGTTGGGGGGGTGGGGGGCAGGGACAAGAGGCGGACCCACGAATCAAGCCCAGGTCTGCGGACGCTCCGGGACAGCCCGGCTGCGCCTGCGCCGGTGGGGTGAGAGCGGGAGGCGGGGCTTAGGGGGCGTGGCCTGCCCCCTGCAGTTTCAGCCTCGGCTCGGCCGGGCGCCCCCTTGGAACGTTGCGACCAGGTGGCGCGGCCGCTGCGCCCCGCCCCCTTGGAACGTTGCGACCAGGTGGCGCGGCCAGGGCGGTCCACGTGAGCGCCCGGCGCGGGGGGGGGGGACACACGTGGGTTTGGGGTTTTTTTTTCGGATTTGTGGGGTTCGTTGATCCTCGCATCCCCCCCCCTCCGCTTTTTAAGGGCGTCCTGGATCGCCAGCCCCCGGGAAGGCGGCGCGGGGGGGGGAGCGGGCTGGTATCTGGGTATAACGCCCAGAGGGGGATTTCTGAAGGGGGGGTGGATTTTTTGCCCTGGCTTTTTCGGGGGAGCAGCGGAGGCTGATGTGATGCTCGGCCAGGTAAGGATTGGGGGCGGGGGGGAGATCAGCGACCAGGCGGGTATACAGGTGTAACGCCTGGCGGAGGGGAGGGATCGCCACCCCCCCCCCTCCGGGCTGGAGGAGGGAGGAGATGGTGTTTGGAGGTCCATGATTTCCTGCTGCGATTCGATAGACTTTGACCCTGGCCACACTCGCTCTGGTGGTGGGGGAGGGGTGACCCAATACTACCCCCACCCCCCGCCAGCTGCTGTTGCTTCCCCCTTCCCTGGAGTGAGCGTGGGGGAGTCACCTAGCTAAAGGGGTAAACCCCCCCCCCCTCATCGCAGCTCCCTCCACTAGATCCCTTCTGACTGCTTTTGGTGTGGCTGATTCTGGGGTGAGTAGCTGCTGGGGGAGGACAGCGAGGGGGCATGCGATCTTGGGGGTGATGGAGATGGGTTCACCCTGGTATGTCTTTGGCTCTGCTGGGGGCGAAGATGTTAATAAAATCCTGGTGGCAAGATTAAAGAGTTCAGCACGTGGGGGGTCAATTTTTTGCTGATTTACTCTTAACCCTCACTGAAGGGGGGGGGGGGATAAATGTCTCATCCTCTTAAGGCAGTGGTTCTCAAACTTTTGTACTGGTGACCCCTTTCACACAGCAAGCCTCTGAGTGCGGAGCCCCCCTTATAAATTAAAAACACATTTTTATATATTTAACACCATTATAAATGCAGGAGGCAAAGCGGGGCTTGGGGTGGAGGCTGACAGCTCGTGACCCACCCCCCCCATGTAATAACCTCGGGACCCCCTGAGGGGTCCCAATCCCCAGTTTGAGAACCCCTGTCTTAAGGGTTTGTCTACACTGGGACGTTAATTCGGATTGAGGGCTGGGTGTGCGTTTAAATCTGCTCTGAAAGCGGATTATCCGTATTAGCCAGTTCACGGGGAAGCAGAATCGGGTCCTGTGTGTGTGGGAGTTAAGCAGAAATGAAAGTGTAAATGAAATCTTGTCAGCTAAGCCTTTAAGCGCCAGAGCTACTCCTGAATCTTGTGGAGACTCTGGATTAAGGGGGCTATGTTCCAATCTATCTTCATCCACTTTGCGCCAGTCGCCTCCGTGTATGGCGAACCCCTTATTCAAGATGCAAAAAACCGAAGGCAACCTGGGTAACTGGGTTGAAGTGCGAAGTATGAAGTAAGCCGTTGATCAGAACAATTTCCCTTCGGAGAATCGTAGGGTGGGAAGGGACCCCGAGAAGTCATCTAGTCCAGTCCCCTGCGCTCATGAAGTATTATCAAGACCAGTGATTTTCAAACCAGTACTGCAAGGCCATTGGGAGCTTGTGGGGAGCGGGGGGGTGCCTGTGGGCGAGAGCCTCCCGAGATAAGCCCAATCCCCTGCCCCACCCCTGAGCCCCCCCAAACTTGGAGCCCCCTCTTGCACCCTCATCCTCGGCCCCACCCCAGAGCCTGCACTCCCAGCCCAGAACCCTGACCGCCTCCTGCATCCCAACCCCCTGCCCCAGCCAGAGGCCGAACCCACACCCTGAATCCCTCATTCCCAGCCCCACCCTGCAGCCCACACCTCAACCCTGTGCCCCAGCCCTGAGCCCCTCCCACACCCCAAACGCCTCCTCCCCAGCTCCGTTGGGTCGTAGGCATCAACAATTTTCTTCAACTGGGGTCGCCAAGAAAAAAAGGTTTGCAGACCACCGATCTAGTCCACATCTCTCTTGGGTGCGACGCGCACGAGACCCCCATCACCGGTTCTTTGCTCCCGTAAAACTCCTGTATAAGAAGTGAGATCGCTGCATCACGTACATGGAGGCTTGAAGACTTCCTTGAAAACCCAAATAAAGCAGGGTGTGAATACGGTTCCACAAAAGCCCGATAGATCTGGCATAACAGGCTCTCGAATTGCCATGCGGTCAACTCCTAAAGGTGACGGAAAGCAAAGATCGAAGAACACAAACAGCAAAGAGTGCGGGCCGACTGTCTAGTTTACGTCTTTTCTTTTTTTCTCTCATACCCCTTTTCCATTACAACCTTGCATGTCTCAACCCCTGTCCACGTGTGATATTCCAGGGAGCCTGAGTTTACTTCTCCACTCCACCCGCTATTTCTGTCAATCCATCTCCCGCTGCCTTGGACAAGTCACTGCGGTCCGCTCCGGCCGGTGGGCGTTTGGTGTTCTGAATTGTTGGAGCAATTTCTAACGGGTCTGTGTGTGGGGGGGGGAATTCTCCACTGCTGACAATTTTGTGGTCGAGGTTGGAGGTTCGCTAAAGGGCTCAGCTCTGGGGATGGTTTTCTGGGGACGTTCCCCGGCTTGGGTTCTGCGAGCATTGGACGATCACTCAAGCGTTGCCCCAGTTCTGTTCGTTCCCTCCGAAAGCGTCCGGCGTTGCCCGCTGTCGGAAGACAGGACACTGGGCTCGATGGACCTTTGGTCTGACCCAGTCTGGCCATTACATGCTTTTGGGGGCATGCACCCCAAATCCCCGCCCTCCTAAATCTACTGGTTTTGTTCTTCTGGGGTTTGCTTGGATATCACGAGTTACGAATTGCTAAATCATAGAATTGTAGGGCTGGAAGGGACCTCGAGAGGTCCTCTAGTCCAGTCCCCTGCCCTCAAGGCAGGACTAAGTATTCTCTAGACCATCCCTGACGGGTGTTTGTCTAAGATGTTCTTAAAAACCTCCAATGACAACCTCTCTAGGCAATTTATTCCAGTGCTTAACAACCCTGACAGTTGGGAAGTTTTTCCTTATGTCCAACCTAAACCACCCTTGCTGCAATTTAAGCCCATTGCTTCCTGTCCTATCCTCAGCGGTCAAGGAGAACAAATTTTCTCCCTCCTCCTTGTAACCACGTTTTATGTACTCGAAAACTGTGATCGTGTCCCCCTCTCAGTCTTCTCTTCTCCAGACTAAACAAACCCAAGTTTTTCAGTCTTCCCTTGTGTTTTCTAGACCTTTCACCATTTCTGATGCTCTTCTCTGGACTTTCTCCAATTTGTCCACCTCGGTCCTTGAATGTGGTGCCCAGAATGAGATGCGGAGCAGAGTGGAAGAATTACTTCTCGTGTCTGGCTTACGACAATCCTGCTGATACAGCCCAGAATGATGCTTGATTTTTTTTTGCAGTAGGGTTACTCTGTTGACTCATATTTCGCTTGTGGTCCACTCTGACCCCTAGATCCCTTTCCACAGTGCTCCTTCCTAGGCAGTCATTTCCCATTGTGTGTGTGTGTACCTGATTGTTCCTTCCTAAGTGGAGCATTTTGCATTTGTCCTTACTGAATTTCATCCTCTTAACTTCAGACCATTTCTCCAGTTTGTCCAGATCATTTTGAATTTGAATCCTACCCTCCAAGGCACTTGCAACCGCTCCTGTGTCCACATATCTGGGGGAGGGATAGCTCAGTGGTTTGAGCATTGGCCTGCTAAACCCAGGATTGTGAGTTCAATCCTTGAGGGGGCCATTTAGGGATCTGGGGCAAAAATTGGGGATTGGCCCTGCTTTGAGCAGGGGGTTGGACTAGATGACCTCCTGAGGTCCCTTCCAACCCTGATATTCTATGATTCTATGATCTATTCAGGGGACACCATCATAGGGCCTAATCACATCAGCCACACGATCAGAGGCTCGTTCACCTGCACATCCACCAATGTGATCTATGCCACCATGTGCCAGCAATGCCCCTCTGCCATGTACATTGGTCAAACTGGACAGTCTCTACGTAAAGGAATAAATGGACACAAATCAGACGTCAAGAACTATAACATTCAAAAACCAGTCGGAGAACACTTCAATCTCTCTGGTCGCTCGATTACAGACCTAAAAGTGGCAATTCTCCAACAAAAAAACTTCAAAAACAGACTCCAAGGAGAGACTGCTGAATTGGAATTAATTTGCAAACTGGACACAGTTAACTTAGGCTTGAAAAGAGACTGGGAGTGGATGGGTCATTACACAAAGTAAAACTATTTCCCCATGTTTATTTCCCCCCTCCACCCCCCACTGTTCCTCACACGTTCTTGTCAGCTGCTGGAAGTGGCCCACCTTGATTATCACTACACAAGGTGTGTGTCCCCCGCCCCGCTCTCCTTCTGGGAATAGCTCACCTTACCTGATCACTCTGGTTACAGTGTGTAGGGTAACACCCATTGTTTCATGTTCTCTGTGTATATAAATCTCCTCCCTGTATTTTCCACTGAATGCATCCGATGAAGTGAGCCGTAGCTCACGAAAGCTTATGCTCAGATAAATTGATTCGTCTCTAAGGGGCCACAAGTCCTCCTTTTCTTTTTGCGAATACAGACTAACATGGCTGCTGCTCTGAAACCCTCCTGGTTTGGTATCGTTTGCAAACTTTTACACGCATTCCTGCTACCGACCCAGGGTCTGGAGGCCCAAACTTATTGCAAAGCCTCCTTCCGACGTGCAGTAGAACTTTCTTCGGCCGCCGTCGTTCCGGGTCGCGGCCTCTTCGCTCGCCTTTTGCGCGTGATACGTCGGGTTTAATCTTGCACTGAATATCTGTGGAGACTCTGGACTGAGAGGGCGTCGTTCTGATCTATCTTCATCCACTTCGCACCCAGGAGGGTCTGGCAGTGGGGAGAGGCCTGTTGATTTTAGGGGGAGGAGGGTCAACCCCTGGCCTCAGGCGCGTGCCTCTGAGATTGCCTGTAGAACAAAGAACCGGGGAAAGGCAGAAATTAGGGTCTTCCAGCTGAATGGTCCCCCCCCCCAATGGAGCTTACTGTGTTGACACCCTAAATGACCGATCTCCCCAATAGAAAGACGAGAAATAAGATTGGGGGTGGGGGGCACACAGCCCCAGGCATGGGGGGGATGGTGGCCCCGCCATAGGGAGAGACGGGGGACACACAGACACAGGTATGGGGGGAGAATAGGGGCCCCTGGTAGGGGGGGACGGGCAGGTGGGGGGCCACCCAGAGCCCCAGGCATGGAGCCGGAGGCCAGGAAGGGGGCGCACGGAGTCTTTGTTGGGGGGCAGTTTTGAGGCCAAGTGAGAGATGCAAAGGGAGGGAAAAAGCAGCTGCTCGGAAGCCGGGACTGGAGGAGCTGGGAGCTCCCCCGCGCCCCACAGCGCCCCCTGCTGGGAGAGGCCGGGACTGGAGGACCTGTACCCCAGGACAAAAGCGCCTATTGTAACGCCCCACTCTCTCTCCTGCAGTGAGCCCCATGCCGGTGGTGCACCCCCAACCCCCCGACGGGGGCTGGGGCTGGATGGTGGTGCTGGCTGCCTTCTTCCAGTCGGCGCTGGTTTTTGGGGTGATCCGCTCCTTCGGCGTCTTCTTCATGGAGTTTGTGGGGTACTTCGGGGAGCTGGCGGGGCGGGTCTCCTGGATCACCTCCATCGGGATCGCCGTGCAGCAGTTTGCTAGTGAGTTCGGGGGGGCAGGGGATCCTGACCCTCTTTTGGAGGTAGGAGAGGGAACCCCACTCCTCCCCCAGAGTCAGCTGCATCACAGGGTAACAGGGCCCGCCCGGTGTCTCTCTGCTGTCCCCTGCAGGTCCGGTGGGCAGCGCCCTCAGCACCCAGTACGGCGCCCGCCCCGTGGTGATGGCCGGGGGCGTCCTCTCGGGGCTGGGCATGTTCCTGGCGTCCTTCGCCACCAGCCTGACCCACCTGTACCTGAGCATCGGGCTGCTCTCAGGTAGGTCCCCCCCGAGCCTCCCCCCCTGCCTCAGTGCCCTCTGGGAGTATCCTCGCTCAAGGCTGGGAGCAAGAGCTTCTGGGTAACCGAGTGCACCCTGGGACCATCCTCGCCGAAGACCAGGAGCAAGGGATTCTGGGTCTAATATCCGGTATTCCAGGCAGGAATGACCGGATGTTGCCGGTGACGGGTTTTCAGATCTTCATTTCACCTTTTCCGGGAGTTCAAACAGCCAACCCGAGCTAAACCTTCATTGGTGGGCTTGGCAACATTCGATGTTGTTTGTTTTTGAGCATTTAGATGGGTCGTTTCGACGCTTTCTTTTAAAGCGTCTCTGTGAGATTTTTTTTTTTTTTTTTTATCCACTTACGCTTTCACGGTTGCGTAAGATTATGGGTTCGACCTTTTGTTTTCTCCTCCCTGGTTTTATGGATTGAAATTTGCACAGCGGCGGGAAACCGCGGGGGCTGGTCGGACAAGTATGGACCAACAGGCGTAGAGGTTGAAAAAGTTAGACCTTGGTAGCCATAAAAACAGAAGTGGTCCCCCTCACGTGTCCGGACCAAGCTGGATTTCAGGATACTTCCTTTAATCCTTACGGCGCACGACTTTACTTTGCTGATCTGTACATTTCGATCTCTATCGATTGACCATATCTGTTCGTTGGTTTGGGTGTCTACAGCTGAATGGGCGTTTACCAACACTTACCGATGGGGGACGCGGGGGGAATATAATTCTTCTAAGCCTACCTGTTGGAGACCATGAAGTCTTCCTGTTCTACTAAATTAGGGCTTTAAAATAGTTGACCTTTTTCAAAATGGCTACCATCATGTGGGGGGCAACCGTAGACCCAAGGGGGAAGGAGCCAGGGCTTCTTCAAAATGGCTGCCACTGCGTCTGCAGAATCAGTGGGGAAGTTGTTTGGAGGGACGAGAGCATGGGGGGAAAGGAGTGGGGCCTTTTCAAAATGGCTGCCATCCTGGGGGTTGGGGGGAGAGGGAACTGTGGGGCCACAGGGGAAAGGAGCGGGGCCTTTTCAAAATGGCTGCCATCCTGTGGGGGAGAACTGTGGGGCCACAGGGGAAAGGAGCAGGGCCCTTTCAAAATGGCTGCCATCCCATGGGGGGAACTGTGGGGCCACAGGGGAAAGGAGCAGGGCCTTTTCAAAATGGCTGCCGCTGAGGGGGACGGTTCGGGGGGGGCATCAAAGGAAAGAGAGGACCATCAAAATGGCCACCATTTGATGGGTGGGGGTAGGGAGAAGGAGCTAGGTCTCATTCAAAATGGCCATCAGTATATAGGGGGAGGGTAATCACTGAGGCTGGGGGAGGAAGGAGCCGGGCCTCATTCAAAATGGCTGCAGCCACACAGCAGCCATTTTGGAAAAACGAGTTAAAAAGTAGATGGGCCCAAAACAGTCTCATTTGTGGCCACGTCCGGCCTGTTGCCGTACCAACCTGGATGTGATTGGGGGGGGCCCTACTTGTGTATTTTATGCCCCCCCCTTTTTTTTTTTTTTGCAGGCTTCGGGTGGGCCTTGGTCTTCACGCCTTCCGTGGCCTCGGTGGCCCGTTACTTCAAGAAGCGCCGGACGTTTGCCACGGGCTTGGCCTTCACTGGCGTGGGCCTGTCCTCCTTCGCCTTCTCCCCGCTCTTCCAACTCCTGGTGGACACCTACGCCTGGCGGGGGGCCCTCCTGGTGGTGGCCGGCATGTCCTTCAACCTGGTGGTGTGCGGTGCCCTCATCCGCCCCCTGACCCTCAAGGAGGACCTGGCCGGCACCGGGGACCCCGGCGGGAGCTGCCTGGGGAAGCTTTCCACCCTCTTTGGCCTGCCTTTGCTCTTCCACTGGCCTTTCATGAGGTTCGTCCTGGCCGTGACCTTGATCAACACCGGCTACTTCATTCCCTACGTCCACTTGGTGGCCCGGGCCCGGGAGCTGGGCTTCGACGAGTACCAGGCCGCCTTCCTTATGTCCGTGGCGGCCGTGGCTGACCTGTGTGGCCGCCTCCTCTCGGGTTGGCTGGCCGATTGCCGGGTTTTCAACCTCAGCCACATCTTGGTGGCCTGGACCTCCCTGACTGGCATCTCCTTGGCTCTGGTGCCTCTGGGGCGCAGCTACCCGCTGCTGATGGCCATCGGCATCTGCTACGGGTTCTTCTCCGGGGCGCTCACCCCCGTGGTCTTTTCCATCCTGCCGGAAATCGTGGGCATCAGGCAGATTTTCGGCTCGATGGGGCTGCTGCAGATGATGGAGAGCATCGGTGGGCTTCTGGGAGCGCCATTCTCTGGTAGATCGCCTCTGGCTTTCTTCTCCTCCCATTCAATTAATTGGAAATGAGCTCCTCCTTCCCCCATAAATCAATCCCCAACCCTGCCCTTTCCCCTGTAACCTTAAGTCATAGACTTGGTCCTTCTTGGAACCAAGACTCATGGCCCCTACCCTGGTCTTGGGAACAGTGGTTAACATGTGAACATCATCCGGCTTGGCATTAGCTGCCCTCCAACCCCAGGTGGGGATAGAACCAGCAGTCCTGACTCCCAGTTCCCCCTGCTCCAACCAGCTAGACCCCACAAGGTTCTTGTGACCTCGTTCTAGGTCGCCCTGTTTCTAGGTCACCCTAGGTTTTGATCTAAGTCATCCTGGCTTCTTATGGCACCGTAGGTCACCTCCATGTTCTAGTTTGCCCTATGTTCTAGGTCACTTTGTGTTCGCATGACAGTCTAGGTCACCTCCATGTTCTAGGTTGCTGTGTGCTCTCTGGATATTGTTCTAGATCACACTTGTCTCTTGTGTCATTTGAGATCGCCTTCATGTGCTAGGTTGCCCTATGTTCTCTGGCTATTGTTCTAGGTCACCCTGGGTTTTCCTGCTGTTGGTCTGGATGACTCTTTCCTTTCTCTGTTCCAGGTTGGCTGCGGGACACGACTGGGGACTACACAGCCTCTTTCCTGGCAGCTGGGGCTTTCCTCTTGTCGGGGAGCCTGGTTTTGGTCACTCTGCCCAATTTCTTCTCTTGCCTGGGCTCCTCCCCTCCTGCCTGCCATGGCACCAAGGTGGAGGCCGGGGCGGAGCCGGCCGCATTGACACCGGCCTCTGGGGAACTTTCCTCCCAGGACAGAGACTGGCCAGCCAGAAGCCAAGATCTCAGGGAGCCGGCGTGACTGCAAGGGGGTTGTGGCAGTGGCTGGGTGAAGGGAGGGAACCAAGGAGGGACAGCTACCCCCCCACCCCACAGCTCTTTTGGGGCCCCTCAATCCATTATCACAGCCTGGGCCTAATCCCCTGTTTGTATCCTCTGATCCCTGGGGCGAACTCCTTGACCGGGACCAGGTTCTGGAAGGGCTAATGCGGTCAGAGCGTAAATTCCAGCCTGGGGAGGGGTCCTAGAGTTTTGCCTCTCTTCCTACCTACCATCCCCTTCAATATCTCCACCGAGAAGGATGCTCCTTCACAGAAATAAGGCACATAAATACCCTTGCCCTCCTGGGTTCTCCGCCGGTGCCTCCCATGGGCTCCAACCTCCCAGAAGCCTGCTGGAAGCTTAAGGCCCTTTGTGGAGGTCCATAATTCGGGGAGGATGCTGAGGAAGCGGGGGAGGGTTCAGTCTATGAAGACCCCAACGAGGAGCAGAAATTGGATCAGAGTCTGGGTTTAACACAAAGAACATTTTATAAAGTGGGAGGAGGATCGGGCCGCTGCATTCATTTGGGGAAACCCTGTACACACCATCAATGGCAGGTCACCTCCATGTTCTAGGTTACCCTACGTTATCTGGATGTTGTTCTAGGTCACTTTGTGTTTGCATGACAGTCTAGGTCACCTCCATGTTCTAGGTTGCTGCGTGCTCTCTAGATATTGTTCTAGATCACACTTGTCTCTTGTGTCATTTGAGATCGCCTTCATGTTCTAGGTTGCCCTATGTTCTCTGGCTATTGTTCTAGCTCACCCTGGGTTTTCCTGCTGTTGGTCTGGATGACTCTTCCCTTTCTCTGTTCCAGGTTGGCTGCGGGACATGACTGGGGACTACACAGTGGCAGGTGTATGCAGACAGGAAATAAAAGGCCCACTCCCATAATATGTGCGGTAGGCCCCTGCCTCAGTTTCCCCACTTGCTGCTGTGAATGGCTGGCAGGAAATGGACACCCAGCTTTGCACCCCACTCCGGCGGCAGGGGGTTAGTGATGTCCCAGAAATGCAGTTATGGGTGTAAAGGCCCCCCTCCCGGATTAGTTTAACCTCCAAAATGTAGGATTTGCTCATTAAAGGGGGGAGGGAGTTGTTTAGCAAAATGACAGTTTTATGGGGGCGGGGGACAAAAGTGGCAGTTTCGAGTGCCGCCTTTTTTGGAACAGAGCTGCATTCGGGGGGGAATTAAAACCAGCCAATTCCTCTAGCGGGCATCTGAGTTCATGGGCCCCTAACCAGCGCGTGAGAGGAAGGGGCCCAAGCGAAGGTGACTTTAGCTTGGAAGTGGCCACAATGCCCCCCCCCGGGCAGGTGGGCCAAAGGTCAAAAGTGCCTCATTGAAGCAAAGTGGCTTGAAAGTTCATCTTGAGTTTTCTCGCATTGAAAGGAACAGGTCTCTTCACAGCGGGGTGGGTGAATATTAACGGAGTAACAAGGGAGGTTTCTCCAAGGATTGGGCAAAACAGCTTGGGGTGGGTGTGCAGAGTGGGGGAAAGATAAGCAAGTAAAGGGATTAATTTAGGTATGGTGCAGACCTGGTGATGGAACCCAGGAGTCCTGGCTCCCAGCCCCGGCCCCCGCTCTAACCCACCAGACCCCACTCCCCTCCCAGAACCATCCTGTCCTAGGGAGTTTGCCCTGGGCTCCCCCTGTGATCCTGGCCCCTGTCCATTGTCTGGGGCATTGCTCGTACCCTTTGTAATTCAGCCTTTCCCAGGCTCTTTGGAGGCGGCTGGTTATCCAGGGACCCCTTGCCCAGCACTGAGATGCGGCCACCTCTGGGGCAGGGCGGCTGGTGACACAGGGACCCCTTGCCCGGCGCTGAGATGTGGCCACCTCTGGGGCGGGGCGGCTGGTGACTCAGGGACCACTCACCCGGTGCTGAGATGCGGCCACTTCTGGGGCGGGGCAGCTGGTGACACAGGGACCCCTTGCCCGGCGCTGAGATGCGGCCACCTCTGGGGCAGGGCGGCTGGTGACTCAGGGACCCCTTGCCCACCGCTGAATTGCGGCCACCTCTGGGGCGGGGCAGCTGGTTACACCAGGACCCCTCGCCCAGCGCTGAGATGTGGCCACCTCTGGGGCGGGGTGGCTGGTTATACAGGGATGCCTGGAAGCTACATAGAAACTTTTTAAAGACGCCATTTTAGGGGCTCCATTGAAAGGCATACCCCGAAATTAAAAAAATCCTAGCAAGAGAACCAAAAAACTGTCACCACGGTTAAACAACCAAGTAAGAGAAGCAGTGAGAGGCAAAAAGGCATCCTTTAAAAAGTGAAAGTTAAATCCTAGTGCGGAAAACAGAAAGGAGCATAAACTCTGGGTAAAAATATAATCAGGCCAAAAAGGAATTTGAAGAGCAGCTAGCCAAAGACCCAAAAAGTAACAGCAAAAAAATGTTTTAAGTACATCAGAAGCAGGAAGCCTGCTAAACAACCAGTGGGGCCCCTGACCGATTGAGGTGCTAAAGGAGCAGTCAAGGACGTTAAGGCCATTGCGGAGAAACTAAATGAATTCTTTGCATTGGTCTTCCCGGCTGAGGATGTGAGGGAGATTCCCAAACCTGAGCCATTCTTTTTAGGTGACAGATCTAAGGAACTGTCCCAGATTGAGGTATCATTAGAGGAGGTTTTGGACCAAATTGATGAATTAAACAGCAGTAAGTCACCAGGACCAGCTGGTATTCACCCAAGAGTTTGGAAGGAACTCAAATGTGTATGTCTACACTATGAAATTAAGTCGATTTTATACAGTCGATTGCGTATGTCCACACTACGTGCATTAAGTGGGAAGAGTGCGTCCTCACTACCGTGGCTAGCATCGACTTACAGAGCGGTGCACTGTGGGTAGTTATCCCACAGTTCCAGCAGTCTCCGCCACCCATTGGAATTCTAGGTTAAGCTCCCAACACCTGATGAGGCAAAAACATTGTCGTGGGTGGTTTTGGGTACATGTCGTCAGTCGCCCCTCCCTCTGTGAAAGCAATGGCAGACCGTCTACCCCAGCCTACCCCTTGCTCCCGTGGTTCATGCAGCCTGGACAGTAGTAAGGAGCAGTTCCACTATAGGCTGAGCAACTGGAGAATGGTGGTAGAATGTGCCTTTGCACGTTTAAAAGCGCGCTGGCGCTGTTAGTCAGACCTCAGCGCAACCAACATTCCCGTTGTTATTGCTGCTTGCTGTGTGCTCCATAATATCTGTGAGAGTAAGGGGGAGATGTTTATGGCCCCGTGGGAGGTTGAGGCAAATTGCCTGGCGTCCGATTTTGAGCAGCCAGACACCAGGGTGATTAGAAGAGCACAGTTAGGTGCGCTGCGCATCAGAGAGGCTTTGAAAACCAGTTTCATGACTGGCCAGGCTACGGTGTGACCGTTGTGTGTGTTTCTCCTTGATGCAAACCCGCCCCCTTTGTTGATTTTAGTTCCCTGTAAGCCAACCACCCTCCCCCCTTCGAAATAAAGTAACTACTGTTTTGAAACCATTCATTCTTTATTAATTAAAAAAATGAGGTAACAGACAAGCCCGGGTGCGGTGGGGGAGGAGGGAAGGACAAGGCCACATTGCTTATTGTAGCCACACTACAAATCAAACTATTAGAATGCCAGCCTTCTGTTGCTTGAGCCATCCTCTGGAGTGGAGTGGCTGGGTGCCCGGAGCCTCCCCACCACGTTCTTGGGCGTCTGGGTGAGGAGGCTATGGAACATGGGGAGGAGATCAGGCAGTTATACAATGGATGCAGCTGGGGTCTGTGCTCTTGTTGGCTTTCCTGCAGCTCCACCAGATGCTTCATCATGTCCGTTTGCTCCCCCATTAGCCTCAGCATCGCGTCCTGCCTCCGCTCTTCATGCTCACTTAATTCTTTCCTGGTCTCTGCCACTGAATGCCTCCTTGCATTACCAGGGATCGGCAACCTTTGGCACGCGGCACGGCAGGGTAAGCCGTCTGGCAGGCCAGGCCGCTTTGTTTACCTGCTGCATCTTCAGGTTTGGCCGATCACGGCTCCCACTGGCCGCGGTTCGCCATTCCAAGCCAAAGGGGGCTGCGGGAAGCGGCGCGGGCCAAGGGATGTCGACAAAACAGGCTTGGTCGTGTGGACGTGTGCAGGGTTAAATGGATCTAATGCTGCTAAATTCGACCTAAACTCGTAGACCAGGGCTAACTGTCGTCTGTAATCGTGAAATCAGCTTCGGTAGCAGATGGCTGGCGGATGGTTAATGTTATGCCAATTTTTTCGAAAGGCTCCAGAGATGTTGTTTGCCTTTCGTTCTATTCACTGCGATTATAGCCAATGGGCTAGCTTGCCTTTATTATATTGACTGCCAGCCAGTAAACCAGAAGGTTTATTAGACGACAGGAATACAGTCCAAAACAGAGCTTGTAGGTACAGAAAGCAGGACCCCCTCAGTCAGGTCCACCTTGGGGGGTCGGGAGCCCAGACCCAGGGTCTGGGCCTCCCTCTGTTTCCCCAGCTAGCTCCATACTGAAACCCCCTCCAGCCCCTCCTCTGGCCTTTGTCTCTTTTCCAGGCAAGGAGGCCACCAGATCTCTTTGTTCTCCAACACCTTCAGTTGGCACCTTGCAGGCCATCAGTTGCCAGGAGACCGGGTGTCTGCAACAATCACACACCCTTATCCCACCACCTAGATACTTAAGAACTGCCTAGGGGAAACTGAGGCACCCACACAGTATTCAGAGAAAATATTAAGAACATTCCCACTTCGTGACACATGTGTCAACCACGGAGGTGTCCTGGCAACAAACTGACGAACATAACAGGTACATGAGATACATCAAAGGCTACCCAGCTTGCTTGCCTATATATTGTTTCTTATTTTCTTACGGGTTTGATTATTTGTTTGATTATTATAGGTTTATATTAGAGTATATTTTGGCTGTAACACAAGGGACCTGCAGCCCACACCCTGTATGTTGAGCTAAGGTGAACTTGGCATACATATGTTGGGGACTTTTCAGCTAGATAGAGGTTATGAGCTAAAACATAAGGTCTGCGACCTTTAACATAGATGATGTGTTAAAGCAGGTTGATCTATGGGCTTTCCTAAGTTCAGACCCTTTTAAACTTAGGAGGAACACCATAACTCGGTGTGACGAAGTGAGGCTTTTCACCTTGTTATGTTGCATGTGAGTTTTACACAGTGTGTGCCTCAGTTTCCCTTAGTTCTGCACCAATGCCTAAGGGGTGGGTGTGACAGGTTTTCCCTCCAGAACTATGGTACCCGCCTGATCCACCAGCCGGGGCTCCCTTCACACTGTACTGCTGTGACAAGCTACAGACACGCTCTTGGTCTCACACTTTCACCAGCGCACATTCAGGTAGGGACACAGCCAGTGGTGGTAACGTGTCAACAGGCTTTCTGACCAGCCCCTGCATGGGAAAGCTTCAGCTAAGGAAGTGCCCAGATACTCAAAACCCAAAATTATACCGTCCTGCACTGCACAGGGAACTGTACAGCGTAAGCTCATGAAATTCACCCACTCTCTCAATGTGGAGAGGAAATATTCACAGCTTTCCATCCCTCGTTATCATAGAATTTCAGGGTTGGAAAGGACCGCAGGAGGTCATCTAGTCCAACCCCCTGCTCAAAGCAGGACCAATCCCCAATTAAATCATCCCAGTCAGGGCTTTGTCAAGCCTGACCTTAAAAATATCTAAGGAAGGAGATTCTACCACCTCCCTAGGTAACGCATTCCAGTGTTTCACCACCCTCCTAGTGAAAAAGTTTTTCCTAATATCCAACCTAAACCTCCCCCTTATGACTCCCACACACTGGTTTCAGACAAAACAAAAACAAATTTATTAATTACAAAAGATAGATGTGAAGTGATTCTAAGGGACAGCAAACAGATCAAACCCTTCTCCGGTTCAGTCCTGGTTTCTCGGGTGTTTCCAAGCATCCCCTTGGGGCAGACAGTCAGTGAAGAATAACCATGATGATGTCACTTCCATGCATCAGTAGGAGCATCACCAGCAGATGGAGGGAAGTGATTATTCCCCTCTACTCATCACTGGTGAGGCCACACCTGGAGTATTGAGTCCAGTTTTGGGACCCCCACTACGGAAAGGAGGTGGACAAATTGGAGAGAGTCCAGCGGAGGGCAACAAAAATGATCAGGGGGCTGGGGCACATGACTTATGAGGAGAGGCTGAGGGAACTGGGGTTATTTAGTCTGCAGAAGAGAAGAGGGAGGGGGGATTTGATAGCAGCCTTCAACTGCCTGAAGGGGGTTCCAAAGAGGAGGGAGCTCGGCTGTTCTCAGTGGTAGCAGATGACAGAACAAGGAGTAATGGTCTCAAGTTGCAGTGGGGGAGGTTTAGGTTGGATATTAGGAAAAACTTTTTCACGAGGAGGGTGGTGAAGCACTGGAATGGGTTCCCAAGGGAGGTGGTGGAATCTCCTTCCTTAGAAGTTTTTAAGGTCAGGCTTTGTGACGAAGTGGGACTGTTCTTAATGTTTCCTCTGAATAGTGTGGGGGTGCCTCAGTTTCCCCTATGCAGTTCTTAGGTATCTAGGTGGTGGGATAAGGGTGTATGATCATTGCAGAGCCCTAGAGGGCAGGTGTGTGCAGAGGTCTAGACACAGACAATGGCCGACACCCTGTTTCCTGGCAACTGATGGCCTGGGCCCTTCCCCCCTGCAAGGTGAGAGCTAAAGGGTTGGAGAACAAAGGAATCAGGTCCCCTCCTGGCCCAGAAAGGGACAAAGCCCAGAGGAGGGGGGGCTGGAGGGAGTTTCAGTTTGGGGCTGGCTGGGGACGTGGAGTGAAGTGCAGACGTGATTGTCTGGCTCCCTGGCCCCAAAATGGACCCAGCTGAGGGGTCCCGGTCTCTGCACCTACAAGCTCAGTTTTAGACCATGTTCCTGTCGTTTAATAAACCTCTGTTTTACTGGCTGGCTGAGAGTCCCGTCTGACTGCGGAGTTGGGGTGCAGGACCCTCTGGCCCCACCAGGACCCCGCCTGGGCAGACTCGCTGTGGGAAGCGCACGGAGGGGCAGAGGATGCTGAATGCGCCGAGGTCAGACCCAGGAAGGTGGAAGTTGTGTGAGCTTCTTGCCCTGGAGACAGTCTGCTCAGAGAGAGGAGGTTCCCCGGAGTCCTGCCTGGCTTCGTAGGGAGCAGTTCCAGAGCCTTGACTCGGTGACAACTGGTGTCAGCAGTGGGATAAACTGCACCCCGTGGTTGGAGCATCCCACAGTAAGTGACTGGAGAGCAGTAAAACGAAGGGGGATTAACGGGAGACGGGCAGGCTGGAGGCTCCGAGAGGTGCAGTTCCAGGAGGCGGAGGAGCCTACGACTTAACCCCGAGAGAGAGTAGACCCCCGAGAAGGGCTGTCGATTCTTCCCAGGGAGCAGGGGGAGCTGAGAGCACAGGCCTGTGAGTCCGTGAGCACGTGGGAACAGCGAGGAGATGGCCTATCACCATCTCCTTAAGAAGGACATTGTAGACCTGTGCAAGGAGAGAGGGCTGCCCACTGGAAAGCTCACTGAGGCACAGCTGATTGCTCGGTTGGAAGAGGAGGATCGCGCCAAGGAGCCGGTTCCTGACTCAGCTGAGGCCGCGAGAGAGGCTGGGAACCACCAAGCGGCCCCAGGGCCTGCACCAGTTCCCGAGCGAGCTGGGGCCCGGGGAGGGGCTGGGAGCAGCCAGGCAGCCCCGGGATCCACCTCCCCGACCAGCGGGGGATCTTCACGGCCCATCGGTGGAGCTGAAATGGAAATTGCAGAAGGACCGGGAGAGGCGATGGCAGAGTGGCAGCTGGGGAGAGTGGGGATGATCTGGGAAAAGGGGTATCCAGTGAGGTGGCAAACTTGGCCGATGACACAAAACGACTCAAGATTGTTAAGTCCCAAGCAGACTGCGAAGAGTTACAAAAGGATCTCTCAAAACTGGGTAACAAAATAGCAGATGATATCCCAGCCCCACCCGGCTGCTCTAACCACCAGCCCCCACTCCCCTCCCACAGCTGGGGAGAGAACCCAGGAGTCCTGGCTTCCAGCCCTAACCCACCAGCCCCCACTCCCTTCCCAGAGCTGGGGAGAGAACCCAGGAGTCCTGGCTCCCAGCCCCCCTGGCTCTAACCACTAGCCCCCACTCCCCTCCCAGAGCCAGGGAGACAACCCAGGAGTCCTGGCTTCTAGCCCTAACCCACCAGCCCCCACTCCCCTCCCAGAGCTGGGGAGAGAACCCAGGAGTCCTGGCTCCCAGCCCCCCCGCTCTAACCACTAGCCCCCACTCCCCTCCCAGAGCCAGGGAGAGAACCCAGGAGTCCTGGCAGTGCCCCAGGTACATTCCTTCTCAAGACCCATAGTTGTCTCAGTCCTGCCCTTAAAGCAGGGGGTTCTCAGACTTCACTGTGCCCCCTTTCTGACAACAAAAATGACTACATGACCCCAGGAATGGGGACCGAAGCCTAAGCTCGACTCCCACTGCCCCGGGCAGGGGGAACAAAGCAGAAGCCTGAGGGCTTGGGGCCCGGGCGGTGGGGCTCAGGCTTCGGCCCAGGGTCCCAGCAACTCTCGGCCAGCTCTGGCCGGCCCATTCAAATGGGGGTCCCGACCCACCGTTTGAGAACCACTGTCTTAAAGCGAAGGGGGAGGGGGAAGGAGCCAGTGGCCTGGCTGGGGGGCGGGGGAGCGGAAGGAAATTCTTGAGGACACAAAGTGGACTTTGTCCCCCCTATTTGCCGTGTGATCCGAGTCGTCCCCCCCTCGGACACGGCCTGCAGCCCCCGGCCCCCAGCCTGTCCCTGGCGCTCCTGGGACTCCTAGAGCTCAGCGCAGACCCAGAGGTAGCTGGGAGCCAGGACTCCTGGGTTCTTTCTTTGACTCTGGGAGGGAAGTGGGGGCTGGTGGGTTAAAGCAGCGGCGGCCTGGGAGCCAGGACTGCTGGGTTCTCTCACCGACTCTGGGAGGGGAGCAGGATCTGGTGGTTAGAGCAGCTGGGGGATGGAAGCCAGGACGCCTCGGTTCTATCCTTGGCTCCGGGATAGGAGCTGGGTCTGATGGTTAGAGCAGGGGGAGCTGGAAGCCAGGACTCTAGGAGGGGAGTGGGGTGTAGTGGTTAGAGCAGGGGGGATACTGGGAGCCAGGACTCCTGGGTTCTAACCCAGCAAGGGGAGCGGGATGTAGCGGAGGTCGGGGAGGAGGCTGGAAGCCAGGACTCCTGCCTTGTCTCATCAGCTGTGCTGGTAAGTTGCTGGCAGGAGCCTTTGTCTCCCTGTGCCTCAGTTTCCCCAGCTGCGTCTCAGGAATTGAGGAGACTAGCTTGCCAGAGGATCCACAGCATCAAAGTTCATGGACTGACCCTCATCTCTTTCCCTTCAGCTGGTTTGTTTTTCCACCCCAGCCCCCAGCAACTTCTGATCTCCTGTCTCCAGGGAACAGCGATGGGGGACCCCATGGCAGAACTTGCATGCCCTGAACCCCCCGATGGGGGGTGGGGCTGGATGGTGGTGCTAGCCGGCTTCCTCCAGTCAGCGCTGGTTTTCGGGGTGATCCGCTCCTTCGGCGTCTTCTTCATGGAGTTTGTGGGGTACTTCGGGGAGCTGGCGGGGCGCGTCTCATGGGTGACCTCCATCGGGATCAGCGTGCAGCAGCTGGGGGGTGAGTGAGGGACCCCGGCGTGGGTGGGGGGCTAAGATCTCAGGGACAGAAGTGGAGTAGCTGGGAGCCCCCCTCCCCCAGCCACTGCTCCCCAAAGAGCCCCTGCTGGGGGAAGCCCAGAGCTCCCCAGCAAGCCCACTCCTCCCCCAGAGTCAGCTGCATCGCAGGGTAACAGGGCCCGCCCCATGTCTCTCTGCTGCCCCCTGCAGGTCCGGTGGGCAGCGCCCTCAGCACCCAGTATGGCGCCCGCCCCGTGGTGATGGCCGGGGGCGTCCTCTCGGGGCTGGGCATGTTCCTGGCGTCCTTCGCCACCAGCCTGACCCACCTGTACCTGAGCATCGGGCTGCTCTCAGGTAGGTCCCCCCTGAGACCTCCCCCCCGCCTCAGTGCCCTCTGGGAGTATCCTCCTTCAAGGCTGGGAGCAAGGGCTTCTGGGTAACCCAGTGCACCATGGTCTAGTTATAGTTGCCCAGGGAGCAGGGGCTCCTGGGTAAAATCCAGGCATCTGTGTCCTCAGGTTAGGGTCCTGGGACCGGGGGGGGGGGTCTCTTTTAGGGTTCTGCAGCCATTCCTCCTCCCAGATGGGTCCTAGACATTAAGACCAGGAGGGGACCGTCCAATCTGGCCTCCTGCACCATCCCTGCTGCCTACTCCTCCTTCCAGCCCATATCTGGTGGTCGAGCTAGACCATGGCACACGAAGCAGTGGAAAATCACACCCACACCCACACCTCCCATGGCCTTGGTTCTTGAGTGTGGTGCCCATGGCCCAGACTCTGCTGCCCCTTCTGAGCTCTAGAACCCTCTGCTCTGGATCATCCATAGTTGCTCTAGCCCAGATCTCCATGCTCACGAGCGTGGCCTAGATCGTCGCAAGGCCAATTTCCTGCCTAGCTCAGGCCAGTCCATTTCACCCAGTTCCTTCCCCGCCACAGCTCTGGCAAGCTAGAGCAAGGGCCAGAGCAGTGATCTAGAACCCAGCACAATGGCAGCTGGCACCTAGAACCCCCCACTCACGGGCTTCACCAGGACTTCCCCTCCCCCCATCCCAGACCCAGCCAGCATGGCTTGAGATGACGTGTCTCTAATTGCTCATGACTCTCCCACCCCCAGGCCAGATGCTAAAGGGACAATGGCTCTTTCTCCCCAGTCATGTCCTGCAGCCAACCTAGAACATACAATGCTTTGGGTTACCTAGAGCACACGGCATGCGTCACCTAGAACCCAGAGTATCTAATTGTTTAGACATCCTAGAACATACAATGCTTTGCGTTATCTAGAATGCTCCATTCAGCCTGGTGTCCTACCTGCCCCATCCCCAGATCAGACCCACCAATCCTGGTTTTGGTCACCTGTTCACTTTCCTTCCCCCCCCCGCAGGACTGGGCTGGGCCTTGGTCTTCACCCCTTCCGTGGCTTCTGTGGCCCGGTACTTCAGCAAGCGCCGGGCCTTCGCCACGGGCCTGGCTGTCTCGGGGGCAGGCCTGGCCTCCTTCGCCTTCTCCCCACTCTTCCAGCTGCTGGTGGACACCTACGCCTGGCGGGGGGCCCTCCTGGTGGTGGCTGGCATCTCCTTCAACCTGGTGGCCGCCGGGGCCCTGCTGCGGCCGTTGGAGCTGGAGGGCAACAAGGCATCCGTGCAGGAGGCAGGGTGGCTGCAGCTGCCGGCCTTCTCCTCCTTCTGCTGGCCACGCCTGGCCTGCCACAGGCCCTTCCTCCTGTTCTCTGCGGCCTTCATCTTGGTGGATGCCGGCTACTACGTGCCCTATGTCCACCTGGTGCCCCACGCCCGGGAGCTGGGCTTCGACGAATACCGAGCCGCCTTCCTCCTGTCCTCGGCCGCCGTGGCCGACCTGTGCGGCCGTGTGGTGGGCGGCTGGCTGGCCGACCGCTTCGCCATCCGTCTGGTCCACAGCCTGACCCTCTGGACTGTCCTGACGGGCCTCTCCATGATGCTGGTGCCCCTGGGGCAGAGCTACTCCCTCCTGATGGGCCTCTGCATCTGCTACGGCTTCTTCGCCGGCGCCCTGGTGCCCCTCCAGTTCTCCGGCCTGGCGGAGATCGTGGGAACGGGGCACATCATGGAGGGGATTGGGCTCATGCAAATGCTGGAAAGTGCTGGCTCCCTCGTGGGGGCCCCTCTGTCCGGTAAGGAACCAGGTTCTCTTTCCTACTGGGCTGCCCCGTCCCTTTTGGACCCAATATTTGGAACGGTTGCTGCCAGGAGAAACTGAGGAAGGAGGCAGATAAAAGTCTTTCCTGACAAGTGGACCCAGGCAGCCCACCGTCCTTTGCCTGGTCTCTGACACATCCCCAGGGGCTGGTAGGGGAACCCGGGCCTGCCCTCTACTCTGGGTTCCAGCTCACAGGCTCTCCAGTCACTGCCCTACGTCCTGGCTTCCCCCTCTCCCCCATCTCTGGGTTCGCCAGCCTCCCACTTCCCTCCTCCCAGGGAACAACTATGGACTACCCCCTAGAGTCCCTACTTGGCCACCATCACCCCTTCCAGTCTTGTGTGGGGGTGGACACCCACTCCCACAAGTTCTAAGCCTTTCTTGCATGAATTCATCAATCTAGCTTCATAGAGAGGGCTGTAGGGAGGGAGGGAAACAAAAAGGAAGGTGACCCATTAATTACAGGTAACCCCCAGAATTAAACCTTCCCCCAGAACGAGGTCCTGGCCTGGGACTCGGAAGACCTGGGTTCTAGTTGAACAACATGTTCTAGGTCACCCAAAGCCTCCCATTGTCTAAATAGCCCTAGGAATATGGTCGAAAGGGGATGCCAATCCTGGGTGCTAGGCTGTGGCGCTCCGGGTCCTAGGTAGCTCTAACAACTCTAAAAAGCCCTAATCATATGATCTAAAGATGACTCCAATCCTGAGAACTAAATTGTGGCATTCTGGGTTCTAAGTATGGGTTCTAGGTAGCCAATAAACCCATGTGGGCCTATGTAGCCTGAAATCATGTAGGCTAATGCCTGATGTCGGCCAGCTAGCTAGAACATTATTAGTGATTGATTACTGTAGACATAGGAGCCCTTGTCATGGACTGGAACTCGATTGTGCTAGGAGCCGTATAGAATCCAAAGATGGTGTCATGGGGTCCCCGGGCGATGCTCTGGAACTGCTCCCCACGAAGCCAGGCAGGACTGTGGGGCAGTCGCCTTTCTGGGAGCAGCCTGTCTGCAGGACACACAGCTCACCCAGCTTCCACCTTCCTGGGTCTGACCTCGGACCATTCAGCATCCTCTGCCCCTCCGTGTGCTTCCCACAGCGAGTCCGCCCAGGCAGGCTCCTGGGGAAGCCAGAGGGTCCTGCCCCCCAACTCTGCAGTCAGACGGGACTCTCAGCCAGCCAGTAAAACAGAGGTTTATTAGACGACAGGAACATGGTCTAACACAGAGCTTGTAGGTGCAGAGAACAGGACCCCTCAGCTGGGTCCATTTTGGGGGGCAGTGAGCCAGACAACCACGTCTGCCCTTCACTCCATGTCTCCAGCCAGCCCCAAACTGAAACTCCCTCCAGCCCCTCCTCCTCTGGGCTTTGTCCCTTTCCCGGGCCAGGAGGTCACCTGATTCCTTTGTTCTCCAACCCTTCAGCTCTCACCTTGCAGGGGGGAAGGGCCCAGGGCATCAGTTGCCAGGAAACAGGGTGTTGGCCATCCTCTGCGTCCAGACACCTGCACACACCTGCCCTCTAGGGCTCTGCAATGACCATACCCCCTTATCCCACCAACTAGATACTTAAGAACTGCCTAGGGGAAACTGAGGCACCCCCACACTGTTCAGAGGAAACATTAAGAACAGTCCCACTTCATCACAGATGGTCCTTCCCCCAAAGCCCTTACCATCTAAGTATAAGACAAGAGACAACAGCAGGATATGTATAGAATATGGTATTCTGGAGTCTAAGTATCACTGAAAATGTGTTTGAGATAATCCATGACTGTGGTCTGCATAGTCCCATGAGACTGTCAAGCAGATATGTTCTAGGCTGTCCAAACCACCAGGCTTTGGGGTTCTAGGTAGCCCTTTCAGTACTTTCTAGGTAACCCATCACTTCGTACCGTCTAGTCTGTCTAGACACCAAGATGTTCTGTGACTTAGGTGACACATACAGTACTTTCTAGATAATCCGTGCAGGATGTCTAGGCAATGAGGCATTTTGGGTTCTAGGTAATGCATATTGTACACTCTAGATAACTCAAAGCCACATATGTTCTGGGATGTCTAGAGAATTAGATATTCTGGGTTCCAGGTAACATGTAGTGCATTCTAGATAACACAAAGACTTGTATGTTCTAGCATGTCTAAATAATTAGATGCTCCAGGTTCTAGGTGACACACACCATGTGCTCTCGGTAACCCAAAGCTTTGTATGTTCTAGGTTGGCTGCGGGACATGACTGGGGACTACACAGCCTCTTTCATTGTAGCAGGGGCTTTCCTCCTCGCTGGAAGTTTGCTCCTTTTTGCCCTGCCAAATTATTTCTCCTGCCCCATGGACTCAACAACTGAGGAGGAGACCAGGGGAGACCCCTGAGACTTTAGCTCCTGGGGGGTTGTCCCAGAGAGCCAGATCAGAAGTGAGAGGTCAGCAGGAGGCAGAGCAGCGAGTACTGTATACAGAGCCAGCCGATAGGTGTCTGCTTCTTCGCTGACCATCGTAAGACGGTTGGAGGATGCATAAGAGATAGAAGGAGGAAGCTACCCAGTCCAGATTCACTCCTCTTTGCAAACTGGTGTCCAAAGCATCCTAGATCTTTCAGGCTAGAAAGGACCCCAATGGTCCCCTAGTCTGACCTTCTGCATGGCACAGAGAACTCCAGCCATTCCTGCCTACAGCCCATATCTGATGGTCGAGCTAGCAGTCTTGATTTAAAAGGACACGTGTGATGGAGAAGACGCCACCACTCCAGGGGAAATTGGCCCCCCTGGTTAATCGCCCTCCCCATGAAAAATTTGCGCTTGATTGGCCGAGCTAGTGAAGGTCGTCCCCTCCCTTTGACCGCGTTTCTCTGTCTGTCTGTGCGTAACACAGTCGCAACCGGCCGCCCCGGCCGATCGGTTCCAAACTTTCAGGGCACGGTCGAGGCATTGATAGCTAGAACCCTGTTGATTTAGGGGGAGATTGGAAAACAAACTAAGTGGGGAGAGGGACACACGGCGACTCTGCCAGACCCTCTGTGGTGAGGGTCTCTAGCTCAAAAGTTGATGGCAGAAATGTGATGCCTTGACTAGCTCAGCTTCCTTCCCCTGGAGTTGCACACCCTGAATGGCTTTCGTGACGCGTGTCCCCCGCAGAACTGGCCACAGCCTTCCAGGGAGGCTGGAGAGAGGGGGGAGCCAGCTCCGTGTCAGCCAAGATCCACAGATATTTATACAAGGACCCCTCGCCCGGTGCTGAGATATGGCCACCTCTGGGACGGGGCGACTGGTTATCCAGGGATCCCTCACCTGGTACTGGTTCTACCTGGTGCTGTCTTGCCCCAGCAGTGGCTGCATCTCAGCACTAGGTGAAGGGCCCCTGTATAACCAGCCGCCCCACCCCAGAGGTGGCCGCATCTCAGTGCTGGGTGAGGGATCCCTGTGTAACCAGCCGCCCTGCTCCAGAGGTGGCCGCATCTCAGTGCTGGGTGAGGGATCCTTTTCTGCGGAAAAGGACCTAGGGGTGACAGTGGACGAGAAGCTGGATATGAGTCAGCAGTGTGCCCTTGTTGCCAAGAAGGCCAATGGCATTTTGGGACGTATAAGTAGGGGCATAGCGAGCAGATCGAGGGACGTGATCGTTCCCCTCTATTCGACATTGGTGAGGCCTCATCTGGAGTACTGTGTCCAGTTTTGGGCCCCACACTTCAAGAAGGATGTGGATAAATTGGAGAGAGTCCAGCGAAGGGCAACAAAAATGATTAGGGGTCTGGAACACATGACTTATGAGGAGAGGCTGAGGGAACTGGGATTGTTTAGCCTGCAGAAGAGAAGAATGAGGGGGGATTTGATAGCTGCTTTCAACTACCTGAAAGGGGGTTCCAAAGAGGATGGCTCTAGACTGTTCTCAATGGTATCAGATGACAGAACGAGGAGTAATGGTCTCAAGCTGCAGTGGGGGAGGTTTAGATTGGATATTAGGAAAAACTTTTTCACTAAGAGGGTGGTGAAACACTGGAATGCGTTACCTAGGGAGGTGGTAGAATCTCCTTCCTTAGAGGTTTTTAAGGTCAGGCTTGACAAAGCCCTGGCTGGGATGATTTAATTGGGAATTGGTCCTGCTTCGAGCAGGGGGTTGGACTAGATGACCTTCTGGGGTCCCTTCCAACCCTGATATTCTATGATTCTATGATCCCTGTGTAACCAGCTGCCCTGCTCCAGAGGTGGCCGCATCTCAGTGCCGGGCGAGGGGTCCCTGGCTAACCAGCTGCCCCCAGTTTTCTCCCACACCCACCGGGGCCAGACTGATGGGGTTCATAGCCTAGCAACACATGGGGTGGGGGGAAGGGTGGGGCTGCCATTAGACGCCTCCTCTCAGCTGCGGACTTCGCTTCACAATTCATTGATAAGAAAGCCCAACCTTTGAGACCCGGGTTGCCGTCTGGTGCCAGGCACCCTGCTGCTGTTTGCCGGGTCCCCGGAGCCGGGAGAGGGTCGAGGGGGCCTCTGTGCAGCCTCACCCACCCCGAGGTTAACAGCCTCAGGGTCATTCTGCAGGGCACTCGCTGGGATGCAGCCACCTCTGGCGTAGGGCATGGCTGCTGATTCATGGCCCAACCCCCCTGCTGCGCTGCCCGGGGACCGTTCATCGTGGAGTCACCTCTGGGGTGGAGCAGATTGATCAGCCACACAGCAATGTTACACAGAGATTGCTCACCCAGCACCGAGGGGCTACCCCCTCTGGGGAGGAGTGAGGCAGCTGATTATGCCAGACTCACCTCTGGCACTCTGCACTGAATCTCCATGGAGCGCCCCGTCCTCTCGGAGCCCCCCGATGGGGGCTGGGGCTGGCTAGTGGCCCTGGCAGTCTTCCTGGAGTCGGGGCTGATTTTCGGGGTGATCCGCTCCTTCGGGGTCTTCTTCGTGGAGTTTGTGGGGCACTTCGGGGAGCCGGCGGGGCGCGTGTCCTGGGTCACGTCCATTACAATAGCCATCCTGCTGTTTGCTAGTGAGTATCGACTCTCCAGCCTTCTCCCTCCCCGCTTTAACCAGAACGTCTCATCCCTTGCCCGGCGGGGCGGCTGGTTACACAGGGACCCCTCTCCCGGCGCTGAGATGCGGCCACCTCTGGGGTGGGGCGGCTGGTTATACAGGGACCCCTTGCCCGGCGCTGAGATGCGCCCACCTCTTGGGCAGGGCGGCTGTTTTTCACTGGGATTCTCCCAACCCCACTTATTGCACCATCCTCCAGGAAAGGAGGGTGCTCTGAGCTCCACATACCTCCACTCCTCCCCCAGAGTCAGCTGCATCGCAGGGTAACGGGGCCCGACCGGTATCCCTCTGCTGCCCCTTGCAGGTCCAGTGGGCACTGCCCTCAGCACCCAGTATGGCACGCGCCCTGTGGTGATGGCCGGGGGCATCCTCTTGGGGCTGGGCATGTTCCTGGCGTCCTTCGCCACCAGCCTGACGCACCTGTACCTGAGCATCGGGCTGCTCTCAGGTAGGTCTCCCCTGAACCCCCCCTGCCTCAGTGCCCTCTGGGAGTATCCTCACTCAAGGCTGGGAGCAAGGGCTTCTGGGTAACCCAGTGCACTCTGGGACCATCCTCACCCAAGACCAGGAGCAAGGGATTCTGGGTAGCCTCAGTGCACCATGGGAGTCTAGCCCATTGCACAGGCCTCTTCCTGGAAGCAAGGCATTCTGGGTAAAATCTGGACAGAAGGATGCTCTGGGCTTGGGCAGTGAGGATTGACTGGCCCTTGGCTGTAGCTTAGAACCTTCTATAATGAAGGATCTGGAGAACCAGATTCTAGAACAGCAAACCCGGTTCTAGATCAGCAAACCCTGGTCCCAATCCCAGCGCAACGAGGCTCTCGAGCTTTGAGGCTCCAGCCTTCACTATAACAAAGGGCTGATCCCACCCAATGAGCTGTGAAATCTCCGCTCCACTCCCTCCTCCCCAGTAGCCTCCGGTGTCCAGATAATGCGAGGGAGGACATGGGGGTTTTGGTGTGCGGGCAATTCCCGACCGATGCAAGGGGGGGGGGGAAGGAGGGCTGTGCATTTTGGGTCAGAACTGACATTTGTCGAAGTTTGCGGTGCATCGAAAAGTTTGAACCAATCTCAGCTTTGCATGTTCTGATTTCGAGCATGTTTGGAAACAAAGTTGAAGGAAATGTGGACCTGACAAAATGAGAATGTTCTAATTTGGGGGGAGGTTTTCATGCCACACACACGCCCCAATGCGAAATCAATACAGATCCAACGACCATTGCGGTGTAATCTGAGCTGCATTTTCACAACTCCAATATGTTCTAGGTAGCACAAACAGGATTCACGATGGGTTCTAGGTTGGCTTAACATGGGCCATTCCAGATGCACGATAGCTGTACAAGCTGGAGTCTACTTCAATTCAGTAGGTTCTAGGTAGCACAGACAGGAGTCATGCCTAGTGTCATGGAGTGTGGGGGAGTCCAGGCCCTGCACCCCTCTTCCTGGGATTCACTGAGACTCTCAGCCAGCCAGTAAAACAGAAGGTTTATTGGACAACAGGAACACAGTCCAAAACAGAACTTGTGGGTACACCCAGGACCCCTCAGTCAAGTCCTTCTGGGGGAGCAGAGAGCTTAGACCCCAGCCCTGGGGTTCCCTGTGTTCCTCCACCCAGCCCCAAACTGAAACTAAACTCCCGCAGCAGGCTCTCTCCTGCAGCCTGTCTTCACGTTCCTGGGCAGAGGTGTTACCTCCCCCTCCCCCTCCTGGCTCAGGTTACAGGCTCTCAGGTCTCCCATCCCCAGGGCACATTCCCAGGTCAACACGCCTCCCTCCCTGCTGCGTCACATCATCACACCTAGTTCTAGGTTTGTCTTAACACAGTGTGCTCCAGATGCATCCTAGCCCTGTAAGCTGTAGTCTACTCCAGCTCCAGATGTTCTAGGTCACACAAACAGGATTCATGGTGGGTTCCAAGTTGGCATAGCATGGTGCATTCTAGATGCGTCCTAGGCCTATACACTATAGTCTACTCCAGCTCCAGATGTTCTAGGTTGCACAAACAGGATTCGTGGTGGGTTCTAGGTTGGCATAGCATGGTGCATTCTAGATGTGTCCTAGGCCTATACACTGTAGTCTACTCCAGCTCCAGACGTTCTAGGTCGCACAAACAGGATTCATGTGGGGTTCTACGCTGGCTCAGCATGGTGCATCCTAGACGCATCCATACAAGCTGTAGTCAACTCCGACTCAAACCATTCTAAGTAGCACAATCTCCTGGCTCGAAGCAGGAGAGCCCACCTATCCAACCCCCATAACCCCAGTTCCCCACCTCTCTTGCAGGCTTCGGTGGCGCGCTAGTCTTTGCCCCTTCAGTGGCCATGCTTGCCCGTTACTTCAAACGACGCCGGGCGCTGGCCATCGCTGTGGCCTTCTCTGCACCTGGGTTGTCCTCGCTGGCCTTCTCCCCCCTCTTCCAGTTCCTGGTGGACTCCTATGGCTGGCGTGGAGGGCTCATGATTGTGGCAGGCCTGACCTTCCACCTGGTGGCATGTGGCACCCTCCTCCGCCCGCTGGCCCTGGCAGAGGACTTGGCTCTGGCACCAGCCCCACAGAGGTCGTGGCTGGCGAAGCTGTCCTCCCTGTTTGGCTTGGCTTTGCTTGCCAGTCGGCCTTTCCTGACCTTTGCTGTAGCTGGCCTGTTGATGAATTTGGGCTACCTTGTCCCCTTTGTCCACCTAGTGCCCCACGCCCGCGAGATAGGCTTTGACGAATACCAGGCTGCCTGCCTCGTGTCCGTGATGGGTGCCACCGATCTGTGTGGCCGCCTGGTGGCTGGCTGGCTGGATGCCCGCAGGGCCTTCCGCCTCCTTCACATCCTGACTCTCTGGATCCTCCTGACGGGCGTCACGCTGCTCCTGGTTCCCTTTGGGCACACCTATCCCATCCTGATGGGCATTGACATCTGCTATGGGTTCTTAGCTGGTGCCGTTATCCCACTGAAATTCTCCAGCCTGGTGGAAATCGTGAGGACTGGTCGGATCTCAGAAGCTACTGGGCTCATAAACCTACTGGAGAGTTTTGGGGCTCTGGCTGGCCCCCCGTTATCTGGTAAGGTCTTGGAGTTTGCCTTTCTCCCCCTACTTTAGGCAGCAAGCACCTCCCATCCCCTGGCTGCTCATTCCACGGGCATGGATCAGCCAATGTGAAGTAGCCAGGGAGGTTCTGGTGACCCACAAGCAGGAACCAGGTTGTAGGTGATCTCTTCAGTCTGGGTACCATTTCACCCACCCTCTAACCTTTGGGGTCACCGCAGGGGCCATGGTTCACACCCCCTAAATTTGTACATTCTAGGTAGTGCTAGCCCTATGGGCTGTAGGCAGCTCTAGAACCTGGCTTTCTGAGTAACTGGAATGCTACATGCTTAGGTTCTAGGTAGCTCTAACCCTCTGGGCTAGACGTGACTTCACATCCCAGCTGTCTAGATTATTTGAACACTAGAAGGCCTGGGTTCAAGATAGCTGTAACCATATTGGTTAAGGACAACTCCAGTACTTGGCTTTCTGGATAGTTGGAACACTATATTCCCTCGGTTCCAGGTAGCTCTAACACTGTGGGTCATGGGCATCTCCTGAATCCAGCTTTCTAGGCAATCGGAACTCGATCTGCTCTGCGTTCTAGGTAGACTTGTGTTTTCCAGGGAGCCCTAAACCTGTAACCTGCACACAACTGCAGGCTCAAACTCTCTTGGTGACTACTCCAGCTTATGTTCTAGAAATCACAACCTTGCTGGGTTGTGAATACTGTCACGGAGTCCCCGGGCGATGCTCTGGGACTGTTCCCCATGAAGCCAGGCAGGACTCTGGGGCAGTCTCCTTTCTGGGAGCAGCCTGTCTGCAGGACACACAGCTCACCCAGCTTCCACCTTCCTGGGTCTGACCTCGGAGCATTCAGCATCCTCTGCCCCTCCGTGCGCTTCCCACAGCGAGTCCACCCATGTGGGGTCCTGGGGAAGCCAGAGGGTCCTGCCCCCCAACTCCGCAGTCAGACGTGACTCTCAGCCAGCCAGTAACACAGAAGGTTTATTAGACGACAGGAACATGGTCTAACACAGAGCTTGTAGGTGCAGAGAACAGGACCCCTCAGCTGGGTCCATTTTGGGGGGCAGTGAGGCAGACAACCCCGTCTACACTTCACTCCATGTCCCCAGCCAGCCCCAAACTGAAAGTCTCTCCAGCCCCCCCTCCTCTGGGCTTTGTCCCTTTCCGGGCCAGGAGGGGACCTGATTCCTTTGTTCTCCAACCCTTTAGCTCTCACCTTGCAGGGGGGAATGGCCCAGGCCCTCAGTTGCCAGGAAACAGAGTGTCGGCCATTCTCTGTGTCCAGACCCCTGCACACACCTGCCCTCTAGGGCTCTGCAACGATCATACACCCTCATCCCCCACCTAGATACTTAAGAACTGCCTAGGGGAAACTGAGGTACCCTCACACTATTCAGAGGAAACATTAAGAACAGTCCCGCTTCGTCACAAATAGCTCATAGCCTCCATTGTTGTGCCTAACTTTACCCATGGGACTTTTGTCGCAATTCCAATCTTGCTGCATTTTAGATACCTACCGTTGGCTGCATGCTGGGTTCTAGGTAGCCATAAGTAGTTGAATCCTAGGCAGTGCCTATGAGCTATAGTCAACCCCAGCTTAATATGTCCTACGTAGCACAAAGATGATGCATTCTGGGTTCCAGGTAGGCTTAACATGCTGTGTTCTAGATGCATCATAATCACATAAGATGTTGTCTATTCTGACTCCGCACATTCTAGGTAACACAAATAGGCACGCTGGGTTCTAGATTGGCGTAACATGGTGTGATCTAGATGCACGATACCATATAAACTATAGTCCACTCCAACTCGGTACATTGTAGGTGTCACAAAATGATGCAAGCTGGGTTCTAGGTACCCCTAATATTGGTATAACTTGTGTTCTTTTGTGTACTAGGTTTCCTAAGGGATGTGACTGGGAGCTACACAGTCTCTTTCATAGCATCTGGGACTTTCCTCATGGCGGGGGGCCTGGTCCTCTTTACAGTGCCAAACTTTTGCTCCTGTTCCACTGCTTCTCCTCCCAAACAGTCAGGTGACCCAGAGGATGCTGGGAATTTAACCCACCAGAATGGAGACCACCCCTGCACAAGGGAGCCCTGGGCGCTGAGCTCTGGGAATGGCTCAGGACAACCGTCCCCACTTAAATCAGGACAATAACGTCCTAGAGAGGAGTGAGATGAAGTGACATTGGAAATGGGGGAGGAGGGTAATCACAGCAGGCTAGATTCCGAGCTCAATTCCAGTGGTGTAAATCCAGAGTAACTCCAGTTCAGTTAATGGTGTAAATCCAGAGTGGCTCCAGTTCGGACAATGATATAAGGACCAGATTCTGAGCTCAGTGACGCTAGTGTAAATCCAGAGTTCAGCGTAACAGCCAGATTCACATCTCAGTTCCACTGGTGTAAATCCAGAGTCATTCCAGTTCAGTCAATGGTGCAAATCCAGAGTCACTCCCAATCAATAAAAGCTATAAGAACCAGACTTTGATCTCAATTCCACTGGTGTAAATCCAGAGTTGCTGCAGTGTAAAAAGGGCCAGATACTGAGCTCAGTACCACCAGTGTGAATCCAGAGCCACTCCAATTCACTCAGTGGTGTAAATCCTGAGTGACTCCAGTTCAGTCAATAGTTTAAATCCAGAGTCACTCTTCTGAGAGGGTTACTCCATTTTTACAGCTCAAGTCTGCTCTTCCACCGGCTTCTCCCCTTGAAGTTTGTGTAGACCCTACTGAAAAAACATTTGCCGGAAAACCACGCTCTCGGCGTTAAATGCAGGGTAGGCACCAGGTTCACCCTGGGAGCCGAGCCCGCGGCTGACCCCAGAGGCCCTTTTGAAGCTTCAGCTGTATTTCTTATCAGCAGCGCCCAACCCCACCCGCCCTTATCTCGGTGCCCCAGGCCCACGGGCAAGCCGGGTCAATGGGACCCTTGGAGGGCAGAGACAGGGAGGCGGAAAGGAGACAGGCTGGAATCCTGCGTGAGGTTTCGGGGGGTGTGGCTGAAAGAGGCTACGGAGACGCTGCAGATGTGGAGCGTGGGGAAGAGCGGGGACTTCTGGGTTCTCTCCCTGGCTCTGAGAGGGGAGTGGGGGCTGGTGGGTTAGAGCTGCGGGGGCCGTGAGCCAGGACTCCTGGGTTCTCTCCCGGGCTCTGGCTGGGGAGTGGGGGCTGGTGGTTAGAGCAGGTGGGGGGCTGGGAGCCAGGACTCCTGGACCCTAGTATCCCGGGGAGCAGGAAGGAACAGTGAACCTCACTGTCACCTGGAGATCTCCACACTCCTGTGGGGGGTGCAGAAGGGGCAATTTGGGTGGGGTACAAGAGGCATGTGGCAGGGCTGGGGTGAAATTCACCAGCTCCCCACCCCCAGATTTGCACCCAGGGGGGCTGCCCCATGCCCAAGGATCCAAGCTCCCGGACGCGCCCACCTGGGAACGCCCGGGAGTGGGGTAGGTGAGGTAGGCGCTGCCCCCTCCAGCCCCAAGGGTGAACCCAACGCTGCCCTCTAGGGGAGGAGACTCATGGACAACGCCGCCACGTGGTGGGAGATGGAGAAACAGGCGACGAAGCTACAGGATCCCCAGGTCACCAGCCGCCCCGCCCCAGAGGTGGGCGCATCTCAGCACCGGGCCAGGGGTCCCTGTGTAAACCGCCGCCCCGCCCCAGAGGTGGCTGCATCTCAGCGCCGGGCGAGGGCTCCCTGGATAACCAGCCGCCCCGCCCCAGAGATGGACGCAGGAGTTGATATTCCAGCCTGGTCTGTTTATTGCATGCCAGCTTTGTACAGCTGCCCGGATCTCCCGCTGCTCCCGCAGTGGGGCGGAGAAGGGGGGGCTCCTCCTTCCCTTCCATTCAGAGACGGGGGCCCCCCACTCAGAAGGAAGACATCTCAACCGGAGGAGGGGGGCCATGTGCGTGTACATTGGGGGGGGTTAAAAAAACAAACAGGGAGGGTGGTCCCATAGAAACAATAAATAGGACGGGTGCGGATATGAGATTAGCCCCTGCCCCATAAATGGGAGGGGGGAATCTGGGGGCCAGAAGGGGGGCCAGGGAGAAGCCCCTCCCCATAATGGAGGTGGGGGAAGGATAAGCCCCTGCCTTATAATGAGGGGGCGATCTGGGGGCCAAAAGATCAGCCCCTGGCCTGGGATAGGGGGCAGGAGTGGGGGCGACAGGAAATCGGCCCCTACCCCCTATTACCTCTTACCCAAGAGTCACATCAAAGCAGCAGAACAATGGGGGGGTAATTAACAAGGCAGCCCGGGGCTGGGGGGGGGGAGGAGTCCCCACGGCATCACTGCCCCGCCCAGCCGGGGAAGGGGGAGGAGCCAGGAGTGGGGGAGGGGATTCTCCCCCTCCCCCCCCCCCCGACAGACACATGAAAGGCGATGGTGGCTCGGCGGTGGCCCCCCTGGGGGCTACAGGGTGGTGAGTTTCAGGTCGCGGCGGGTCAACTTCTCGGGGTTGTCCGACGCCATCAGGGAGAAGTCCCGGAAGATGTCGAGGTAGGTCTCGTCGCCTGGGAGGGCAAAGGGCGTAGGAGTGGGGCAAGGTGCCCCCCCAGTCCCGCCCCACAGCCCCCCGCTAGCCCAGCCCTGCCCCCCCAGCCCTGCTGGAGCCCCTCACTCCCACCCCACAGCCCCCTGCTAGCCCAGCCCTGCCCCCCCAGCCCTGCTGGAGCCCCTCACTCCCGACCCACAGCCCCTGCCAGCCCAGCCCTGGGCCCCCAAGACAAGACACCCACCTGACTGTCCCTGCGCGACCTCCGCCTCCCGCATCTTGGCCAGCCGCAGCCTGCAAGGGGGTGGGGGGGGCAGAAAATGAGACAAATTCCCCTCCCCCTCCACCAGCACCCCCGCCTCCCCCCCCCCCGCCATCCCAACCTGGGGGGGGGGGGGAGCAGGGGACTCACAGGGTGACGATGTCAGCGTTGGCCGTGTCTATGGCGATGGAGAGCGGTTCCTTCCCCTCCATGTCGACCGCATTCAGATTGGCCCCCCGCTTGAGGAACAGGCAGGCCAGCCTATCAGAGAGCAGAGCCGTGAGAGGCGGGTGGGGGAGACAAGGTCCCCCCTCCAGGCCGGCAACACGGCCCCGGCCCTGCTTAGCTTCGCCGCCGGTGCATCCACGGGGTGGCGGGTGCCACGACGCCATCTAGTGGCCAGGTGAGGAACAGCAACCCCCCCGAATTACCCGTCCCGGCTGGGCGGGCCCTGGGCGGGCCCCAGCCCCCCCCCGACCTACCCGGTGTGGCCCAGGATGGTGGCGTGGTGCAGGGGCCCCCGCCCGGCGCTGTCGGCCTGGTTGACGTTGGCTCCGTTCTGCAGCAGGAACTCGCAGGCCAGCAGGGAGTTCTGGGGACGGGGAGAGGCGGAGTGAGCCGGGGGCACAAGGGGTTAACGCCCCACCCCACCCCCCAGCTAAGGCCCCCCTCCCCGCCCCCCGCCTACCGCGGCCACGGCCCGCAGCAGCGGGGTCCGGCTGTCCTCGGCGGCGTTGACCCAGTTGACGTCGGCGCCGTGGGCCAGGGCGTCGGCCATGGTGGGCAGGTTCTGGTGGCCAGCGGCCCAGAAGAGCAGCGCCCCCGGGTGGAGGCTGCGCAGGTCTTCAGGGGGGGAGCCGGCCTCCCCTGGCTCTGGAACGGGGGAAAAAGTGTGTGTGTGGGGGGGGCATCAGGGACGGGGGAGCCACCTGGCCACGTCCACCGGGCTACACCCAGGCCCCAAGGCGTCCCCCTGCCCAGCTGCACCCACCCCAGCCATGTGTCCCTCCCCCCCACAGCCGCACGCCACTCCCCCCCCCCGGCTCTGCAGGGGTGGAAGAAGGGGGCTGGGTTAGACACAGACACACATCCCCCCCCCCGCAGCCCTACACTCACCCCCCCCCCCCCGGGTTCCCTCCTCCCCAGGATCTTAACCCCTTCCCCTGTCAGGTACCTGCAGCCCGGCCAACGCTGCCCGGTTTGGGTTTGAGGGGGGGCCTGGGGGGCCGGTCCCGGTCGAGGGGTCCCCGGCGCCCCCCCCGGCTCAGCCGTGCCTCTGGCAACTTGGTGATGAATTTCTTCTCCACGTATTTGGCCCGGATCCAGCTCTCCTTCTCCGCCCTGTGGGGGGGGGGGGGTGAGACGGGGCAGCCCCTGATGGTGCGGGGGGGAGGACACAGCCTTGTGGGGGCGTTTGTGGGCGTGTGGGGGAGGGGGTCTCATGATGAGCAGCTGGGCTGGGGGAGGGGCCAGGAGGTTCGGGGGGCGCTGCGGAGGGGGGCTGGAGAGGGCGGGGCCAGGGGGGGCACCACTGGGAGCTGCCAGCCTGGAGGAGAGGCACGGGGAGGGGGCCGGAGGGTTCAGGGGGGCGCTGGGGGGGGCTCACCGGGAGCAGCCGGGCTGGGGTCTCTTGACCGTCATCTCGTCCACACGCGCCTCGTAGATGCGGTTCAGGGCTCCGTTCCCCAGCTCGCACATCAGCTGGGGGGGGAGGGAAGGGACACACGGGGGGGGGGCAGTCACAATCCAGATGTTGACCCTCCCCCCCGGGCCTGACCCCCATCCCGTGGCCCAGTGGCCAGACCTTGCAACCCACCAACATGGGGAGGGGGTGTGACTCCACGGGCAAACAGCCCCCCAGGTCACCCCCTGCCCTGCCCCCCTTAAGCCCACCCCTCGTGAGACACCCCTCAGGCGGACACCCCCCCCCACACCGTTACCTTGACGAGCTCCGGCTCCCAGGAGTCGAGCGTCAGGGAGCGAACCTTGGAGAAATGGACCCCCAGGCTCCTGCGACAGAGGGGGGCAGGAGTCAGCCGGGGGGGAATTCGGGGGGGGCCCCTGGCTGCCCCCCAAGGCCCATATGCGCCAGAGCTCTCGATGGCCAGGCTGGGGGGCTTGGGAGGGGGGCAAGGGGAGGTCAGGGGGCAGCGGAGGGATGGGGGCGCAGTGAGGAGCCAGTGGGGTTCGGGGGGAACCGGTGGATGCCGGAGCACTCAATGCACAGGGTGATGCCCAGGCCGGGGGAGCTGGGGGAGACTGGGGTTCGGGAGGGCAGTGGGGGGCTCGGGCGGGACTGGGGGGGCCCTGGGGGGTTTCGGGGGTACCGGTGGATGCTGGAGCACTCGATGCACAGGGTGATGCCCAGGCCAGGGGAGATCGGGGTTCGGGAGGGC